CCGTGTGGAATGAGTAGCAGTGCTCGCGGAAGGGGACCCACGCTGAGTCGGCCAGCCCCTGGGGACAGCTGCCCGGGTAGCGGCTCCCCCGGGAGGGAGGGAGCCCTGTGGGCAGAGGAGTGAGGAGGGTGCCCGGCATCCTCCCCGGCCCTCGCCCCGCCGGGCCGCCCCTGGGGGCACTCACCACCGTCGGCCCCGCACACAGCCCCCTGCAGCTTGGTGTCACAGCGGGCAGTGCGCCAGGCCCCGTCCACATCCACGTAGGCGCAGCCCCCCGGCTGCTGGGGCTCCCCGTCCTGCCAGCTCGTGTAGCTCAGTGGCTCTTCGGAGACCCAGGAGTACCGCCGGGAGCCCTGGACACGGGCAAGTAAGGCCGGGCGGGGAGGGACAAGGAGGCAGGAAGGGACAGGGAGACGGCAGGGTGGCGGGGGTGAGTGTGGCACCCACCTCCTCGCTGGCCAGCCCGATCCAGAGCGGCGTGCGCAGCCCCCGCGCGGCCTGTGTGAGGAAGGCCTGCGTGTAGGGCCCGGGCACGCGGGCCAGGCTGGCGTTGCGGCTCTCGCACAGCAGGAGGGCGTCGTGCCAGCGCAGTGGCTTCTGCAGCAGCCGGAAGGTGTCGTTGAGGTAGGAGAGCTCAGCGCCCGGGGCGGGGGGTGCTGCTGCTGGGGCTGGGCTCAGGGAGGGGTCTACGGGGAAGGGGGCAGGGCTCAGGCCCGGATCTGCCCCCCCTCCCCGTGCCTGGACAGGTGAAGGCCAAGTCTGCACCCGGCTCAGGGCTGGGCACCGGCGAGCCCTAGGGAGTGCTGGCCGAGGTTGTTCCTCGTCGCAGGTGTTTGCCGGCACACGGAGGAGGGAGCCAGGCCTGCCCGGGACCCTGGGCCAGGGAGCCCAGGTGGGCGCCTCGGAGGCCGGACACCCCACAAGCCGCCAGCCTCCCGCCAGCCTCTGTGCCCCCAGACCTCCCTCCCAGGACCTCCCGGGGCGACTGCCTTTCCGCCATCTGCTTCTGAGCAGACGCCGACTCAGGGTGACCGAGAGCCTGCTCCTCGCACACCCGGCACCGTACCTGTGCCCTTCTGACAGATGAAGCCATGTGCCTCCTCCGTGCAGCTCCGGTCGTCCCAGCGGCCGGTGAGGTGGGCCGAGGGGCTGTGCAGGACCACCGCACAGCTGGTCTGGGGGAGGGAGCTGCTCAGGGCACCGGCCCTAGCCCCAGGGGCAAAGAGGCGGGAGGAGAAAGACTTGGGCAGGGCAGGG